TTTTTTATATTATGGATCAGCCTTTTAAAATTAATAAAAACAGACAAGTCATTAAACATACACATAATCCAACATTGGACAGAAGACCCCTCTCAGCAGTCGGTCAAATTCGATCTTTCTCACAGAGAAGCACAGAATCCAATGCTTCTCATAGACATGATGATGATCAAAGATCTTAAGAAGTGACTTTAATGGTAATACGTTTATAGACAAATGTTTGTTAGAGAATAGTGAGAGCATTAAAGCATCAAAAGGACCTCATATGCCATATTTAGTATTAAGAGTGTTCTTTTAAAAATGAAAAACAAACTTTTTGTATTACTAAAAAAGCAGGCATTAATGTAAATTGGAAATGAAAATATAGCTAGATAAGAAGCTCAAATTGTATAATTAATGGATTAAATGTGCCCTCTAATTTTGTTATTATTATTATTATTATTAGCATTTATATAACGCCAACTTATCTTGGCTTTAGAATACTGTAAAGGGGGAAATCAACAATAAATGAGACAATTACAAAATGGTACAGGTACAATAGGTTGAGGAGCACTATGCTCTAACAAGTTTAGTTATATAATCATTTTCTCTCACTGTCAAAGAGATTTGAGGCTTAAATATAATGAGTAAGGTGAATGCGCTTTAAACATATATTAAAAAAAAAAACTGTGAAGGAACCTTATATTATCATCTGGATATTTAAATCTAATCAAAAAAATAAATGGCTCAACTTTTTTTACAAAAGTAATCCTGCAACATATGTTTCCTTACTTTGCAGTGTTCGGTCACATGCGGTGGTGGTGTACGGACAAGGAATGTTACGTGTTCAAAAAATAACAATGAACCGTGTGAGGTATTGAAGAAACCAAATTCCAAAGCCTTGTGTGGACTTCAGCAATGTCTTGTTCATAACAAAGCACCTCAACCTCCTATGAAGCACAAATATGTTAAAAAAATAGTCAAAGTAATCCACAAAAAAGCAGGTGGTCCAGTGAAACGCATTATTTATCAAGATAATAGAAATCGATTACCTCGCGTAACAAAGTTACCAACATCGTTTTCATCAGTAGCTCCTACAGTAATGTTATCTCCAGCTGTGAACTCCATCAAAGAACATTTTCAGATCAATGAAATACCAAATTCCACCCATTTTAATGTTGATTATAAGTATGACTTTGTGCTGGTGGAAAATAATAAAAAGAAAACTATTTTGAACTCCACTAAATTGATTCCAACAGTTTCCACTGAAACTTCACCAAGCACAGAAGTTGAAAATAAAACAGAAAATTATTCTTCTACTATATTGACCACTACGAGAAAACCTGAAAACATTACTTTAGGTTATGATTTTATAACGGAACAATCGGAAACACAAACAGACCCAGAGGAAATGACTGTGTCAACCAACAACCCAGATAGAAATGATGATAGTGATTTCAATTCCATAATTGAATCCAGAAGTAAAAGGCATAAAGGCAAATCTGTCATGATACAGGACAATCAAAGCACTATTACGTATCAGACAGAATCGTCAACTCCAGCTTCCAATCTCGTTACAACAAAGATTCCACAAACTTTCAATATCAAAGTCTTTGTATCTGTCATTGAGTTGGAACAGAATGCAACGATAACTGAAAATAATTTAGATGATCCAATAGTCAAGGACTCAGAAGAGAAGGATCATGTTCAGGCCACCAATACCAATATATCTGTAGATACATCTAAAAAGCTAAATTCAAGTTATATTGTCCTATTGAATCCAGAAGCACATATAAATATTACTGACATTGTTTTTAGTATGTCAAATACCATCTCTTGGATAACTGGGAATTGGAGTGAGGTAAGAAAGATTAACATCTGACAGCATCTTGCAAAATGTGTTTTTTAATAAACGTTCTAAATAAAAGTAATTTAGGGATTATAGAGATCTGAAGCAGAGAGTGGAATGAAATGTCAATATAATAAATACCTTTAAAAGATCATAATTGTTCTATTTATTACTTGGTACACAATTTGAGGGCAAAAATACAGATCTGGTCCTGAAATAGATAAAAATATAAATAACATTTAAATTTTATCTGTATATTTGAAAGGAGAGCTATAGGTTTTTTTTTAATATTATTATTTTAACAAAACATAATAACACTTAATATCTGTCAAAAGCAATTTTGTATGTTTTTACTTTATTTCAATGTCTATGCATTTTAAGCATTAGCAACAAATATGTAAAAAAAAAAAATAGATATGGCTTGCCATAAATCTTAGTTACACATATGCTTAAAAATATATAAGCTCTAAAAAGTGTAGCATTCTAGAATAGCAAGAAGAGTGCTTACATTAATTATTGAGTAATGCACTAGGATGGACATCTAAAATTGCTAAAAAGGTGCAATGTCTACATCTGTCTACAAATAATTACGATCCATGAGCTGATTGGATAAAATGTTTAACTACCTGCAGTGAAACTTAAGTTTTATGTAATTTTCTGGTTATAAGCGAGGTTGTCATTCAGACAAAAGTCTTGTTGCATCATAGTTATTTAGCTCAGAGGAGCTAAACTCAAGAGGATGCAGTTTGTGCAGAACACCAGCCTTGCAAAGACTGAGCTATATTATGAAGTTTATTATTGGAAAGCCACAGAAATTCCAGTTCGGTGAAGACGATGAAAGCTTTAAAGATCTAATAAACAGTGATTTTTTATTTATTTTTTGTTTTTTGTTTGTGGGCATTGGAGTGTCTCTATAAAAAAACTTCTTAAAAAAACAAAACATTAAAACCCATTTGCAGATTTTGGATATGTCTAATTAATTTCATTGGTTTAGAAAGACTTGTCTTGTAGGCACATACAGTGATCAACCCTTTAGCTGCAAGAGGTGTCACTCCACCAGAGGCAGTGTCATAGGGATGAAACTGCACTATGTTTGCGTTAAGAGTGAATTACCATTTGGACAATTCACATCTAGTCATAAAATGCTTTCCATCGATCTGGGAAGAGAGTGCTCTCTATGACTCAACTTATTCATTCTGCAGCCTACATTTATAAATTTTGATACGGAACAATTAAACAACACAATGCAATGTTCTTTCTCAAGATAGCATTGCACTCACAGAAAATACACACCTGCATCTCTAAAAATAGCCCCATTGATTATTTTCCTTAGATTGAAATAGGTAAAAATGGGAAGTTCAAAGTGATTTTGTTTATTTAATTATGAAGAAAAAGTTGTATGTATTTAAATGGTTTCACTTTCTCATCTATTATAATGATAAAAATACACAGTTCTCCTTATCACATTTTATGGAAGAACTTAGCTGTTCTCATTTTTGTCTTTTACAAATAGGAATAATAAATTCAAAAGGATAGCTTGATTTATATAACATTTATTTTACATTTGCATTGAGGCAATACGTAGGTGAAATCTCTGTATCCACAGCTGTATACTCCTCAGATGGCATTTTATAATTTTTCGAAGTAACCTGCAGAAAAAAAAAGGATAGTTTTGCAAACACTTGTGATTAATTATGGTTGTTGTTTTGTAGTTCATCAAGAAGTACATTGTTGACGTTTGGCTACTCATTTTAATTTAAGGGATACTCCAGCCCTGTAACCTTATACATTACTGGAGCTGTAAGTTAAGAAGCTATAGTTGAAGCCCCTCATTTTTGTCAAATTATTTGGAAGTGTTTTGACAAAACTAAATTTTACTCACCAACATTTTCTTTTCTATAGGAATAGCAGCAGTACAAACAAGTGGGTTTAGCAGCTGTTCATCAGGGAAGGACAGTCAGAACCTACAATTTAATTTTGTTAAATTACCATATCCCACCCTTAACTCCACCTCTAGCTGCTATAATGTCTATGCAGATTCAAAGTTCTCAAGAATAATAACAATACACCAATTAGCTTGCAAAAGTAAAAACATTTATTATCAAAGGGGACCTATACTGGCTCTAATACTGTGGAAAATAAAATATACATAGAAACATAGAAACATAGAATGTGACGGCAGATAAGAACCATTCGGCCCATCTAGTCTGCCCAATTTTCTAAATACTTTCATTAGTCCCTAGCCTTATCTTATAGTTAGGATAGCCTTAAGCCTATCCCACGCATGCTTAAACTCCTTTACTGTGTTAACCTCTACCACTTTCAGCTGGAAGGCTATTCCATGCATCCACTACCCTCTCAGTAAAGTAATACTTCCTGATATTATTTTTAAACCTTTGTCCCTCTAATTTAAGACTATGTCCTCTTGTTGTGGTAGTTTTTCTTCTTTTAAATATAGTCTCCTCCTTACTGTGTTGATTCCCTTTATATATTTAAATGTTTCTATCATATCCCCTCTGTCTCGTCTTTCCTCCAAGCTATACATGTTAAGATCCTTTAACCTTTCCTGGTAAGTTTTATCCCGCAATCCATGAACCAGTTTAGTAGCCCTTCTCTGAACCCTCTCTAAGGTATCAATATCCTTCTGAAGATACGGTCTCCAGTACTGTGTACAATACTCCAAGTGAGGTCTCACCAGTGTTCTGTATAATGGCATGAGCACTTCCTCTTTCTACTGCTAATACCTCTCCCTATACAACCAAGCATTCTGCTAGCATTTCCTGCTGCTCTATTACATTGTCTGCCTACCTTTAAGTCATCAGAAATAATCACCCCTAAATCCCTTTCCTCATATGTTGAGGTTAGGACTCTATCAAATATTCTGTACTCTGCCCTTGGGTTTTTACGTCCAAGATGCATTATCTTGCACTTATCCACATTAAATGTCAGTTGCCACAATTCACCATTTTTCTAGTTTACCTAAATCATTTGCCATTTGGCTTATCCCTCCTGGAACATCAACCCTGTTACATATCTTAGTATCATCAACAAAAAGACATACCTTACCATCAAGACCTTCTGCAATATCACTAATAAAAATATTAAAGAGAATGGGTCCAAGTACAGATCCCTGAGGTACCCCACTGGTGACAAGTCCAAGCTTCGAATATACTCCATTGACTACAACCCTCTGTTGCCTGTCACTCAGCCACTGCCTTACCCATTCAACAAGGCAGTGGCTGAGTGACAGGCAACAAAGGGTTGTAGTTTTACGGTGAGTAAAATTCTGGTTTTCCATACAAATAGTGGCAATAGTAACAAGTGTTGTACCGAGATAAAACTGATGAATGGATAAATGTTAAAAGGCACCTGTAGTGCCCAAAACAACTTTATCTCTACAAAAAGAGACTTTAGAGTCTTGCTTTGGACGGCAGCAGAATTGAACACTCTTTCTAATGCAGGCTTTCTTCATCAATAACAAAATGACCTCTTCAATTAACTTATGAACATAGTCATCAATAAAAACAGACAGTTTATTTGTTAGATCCCTGGAAAATATAGAACTGGAACAAAGCACAGGAGTGTCTTCTAAACTAGAATCAGAATGTTCTCTTGGTCTTCTCTTACTTTTACTTCAAGGTAAAAGGTTTAAATTCTTAAGAGGGAGGGACAGGTTGTAAAGATGCTTTGTTATTTCCTATAAGTTTTTTTGTAAATTATCTTGGAACCAGGACATAATAGCTGACACTTCTATAGATATCTTTCACTTTTACTTTCATATCATTCATTACTCTTTCTTTTTGAACTTTCAGGTAGAGGTAAGCTACATATTTCACAGCTTGAGTGTTTGTTCTTAGTCACAGTCTTGACTTTTTCCACTTTGACCACTTCATCTGCGAATTAGACATCCTAATAAAGAAATAATAAAATTTAAGTTAACTGGCCTCGGAAAGAGAAAAAAATATTTTTAAAATAATAGGACACTTATAACACTGTCTTAAAATGCCTCTTGTGTGCCTGGGTCGAGATGGTGGCACAACAGCAGCTGAAAGGATCCAATCTGGAGCCTTCATCAGCTGGCATGGGTTTTAAATGTCCTGAAACTGGACATTTACATTTAAATTTGGGCTTCAATCACTGCAATCGATTAGCACTCTTCAATCACAGTGTAACACAATGCAACCTGTGAGTGCATTACTCAGCTAAGCTCAGCACATATCTGTCTGATGTGCTCATGCCATATATAGGACTCAGCATGGCTAGATGGTATGAAGACAAATGTAATACTTGTGGAAGCCTCCAGAGAGCCGCAGTTTGCAGCATATATACTGAGACAGGCCCCTGAATACAGTTATGCATTCAAAACTCTGCAGGAACAAAAAATAAAAACATGAGTCTATCCTGTCCCTACAAAGGACAGGCAGAAACTGGGGAGCTTTGGTCCTGAGTAGTTATGATAGCAGCCAGAAGTGGAGTTCACGGTAGGATATGTTAATTTAGCCAATTTACCAATTTTTGGTCTTTCCTGGCTTTCCCTGAGAAACATTTGCTAAACCCACTTGTTACTGGTATCCATAAAAAACTAATAGAGTATTCCTAGGTCCACTAAGTTCACCCGCGATGCTGGAGACATCATAACTCATAGTTTAGTTACATGTCCAACCTTTCACAACTATTCTGTTGATCTAAAAGAAGTGTTTAGGGACATTATTATTTTGGAAGGGGAACCTCCATCTTAGTCCTATATGTCTTGCAGAATTTCCCAGTATGAACCTCTAACTATCTTGCTATCACTTGTTACCAATTTGAAAAGCATTTCCATCATAGGATGTTAACATCAATGGTATCACCATGAGGTGGAGTAGCCAGGGTAATGGGAAATGTTGGATTTTGACCATACATAGAGTTTTTCAAAATGTTCATATGTGGTCTTTTTCAGGTGACTGTGTTTGCTGTTTCTCCTATATATGTTTGGCAATTACCAAATGGGGTTGCATATATTCTTTTTCAGCAATCGCTTTCTGTTTGCCACTTACCCACTACTTTAGTGGAATAGTTGGTGTGACGGTACAATGCTTTACTCCGTCAAGCATTCCCTTCTTCCCATAAAATAAAATCGCCAAGTAATCCCCAGAATAAGAAATCGCTGGTATCGCCGAATAATTCACACATGAGCCAAGGCTTAATGCTGGAACAAGTCTGTTTTACTGAGAAACAGGGCACACCATTTATACAGTTCATAACTCCTCCTCTGGGCCAGGCTAGATAATTGGGTTTGAGCACTTATCAAACTCAATTATCTAGTGGCCAGAAGTGCCCTGGCTCCCTTTAAGGGGAAATAGACAAATAATCTGCAACTGGTTTAACTACTAACCTGAGGTGCTCCGGTTGCCTTCCCATCTCTTGCCAGAAGCTGCAGCACCTTGCTTGCTCAAAGACACTAAAGAGAAGATTCCAATTGGAAATGGCTTTAGAAGGACACAGGGATGTTGGTGTATTATTAAATGTATGTATATATATACATTCTTTTTTTTTTAAAAGCTCATTATAAGCTAAGTTGTATTTGATCTAACAGTCCTGAGAGTGCTATCTGGATAAGGAGAGTTTTGGGGGATTAAAAAATAATTTTAAAAAATTGCAGCGATATAGAATGGAATAAGAGAAAGGACAAGATGGATAAAATATTAAGAAATTTTATTTGCTGTTTCATAGTTTTGATTCTGAATACAGTTTCAATATTGTAAGTTCAATCTCCACTTGAATATGGGTAATATCCTTAGTAATCAAAATAAGTTTCCAAGTTCAGAGTGAATAAGTTGAATTCAAAAGACAAGTGTGACACCGACACATCAGATTTGACAATAAGGAGGAGAAGGAAGAAAATCGTTCAACTATGTGGATCTGACATGACTTTAGATATGACACTAGTGATTAAAAAAGCAGTCTTCCTTTTCTTACAGAGAATTATAATGATACTTTAGAGCTGTAGCTGTATTATGTTTCTACAAAAAAAAATGACTTTTTTTTTTACTATGGTGCAAAATTGTGAATTTCTACTTTTTAACCTACTTTAAATTCCCAAATTCCCAAATAATTGCTAGAAGTGGCCATGGATGTACAAATTCATTTTGAAAATAAAGGGAGCCTACAGAAATGTGGAACTGGAAATGTGATATTATGACAATGCATATTTTGTAAGGCAAATTAGGATTAAAGGGACACTATAGTCACCAAAACAACTTTAGCTTAATGAAGCAATTTTGGTGTATAGAACATGCCCCTGCAGCCTCACTGCTCAATTCTCTGCCATTTAGGAGTTAAATCCCTTTGTTTATGTAACCTAGTCATGCCTCCCTGCATGTGACTTGCACAGCCTTCCTAAACACTTCCTGTAAAGAGTCATCCAAAGTTTATCCTTTCTTTATTGCAAGTTCTGTTTAATTTAGATGTTCTTATCCCCTGCTATGTTAATAGCTTGCTAGACCCTGCAAGAGCCCCCTGTATGTGATTAAAGTTCAATTTACAGAGATAAAAAAAATTAGGTAAATTACATCTGATGTAATTACCCCTTAAGACCGCAGGCCGTTCTATGCTGTCCCTATTTGGATGGCTCTAAAAGCAGCAGGGCGGCATAGAACGCCCTGGGCAGTCCTGCCTCCCACATGGCCTCCCACGTGGCCGGCGGCACATGGCCGCTGCAGATCATGGTCAGGGGGCATGCCCCCTTGTGCCCGGTGACCGTGGTCTGCAGCTTCCGATCACAGTGACAGGCTGTCAATGCGATCAGGATTTACCATGTTTTCAGCGATTTTAAAATCGGCTGACACATGGAGCCGCAGCATTTTCACTCTGCAGATCTGATTGCAGAGACAGCCTCTCACTGCGATCTGATCACAGTGACAGCCTGTCACTGCAATCAGAGTTACTATGTGTCAGTAACTGCAGGCAAGACCCCCTGCAGATCGTGGTGGGGGGCATGCCTGGCCACCGAGGCACTCCCCCTGTGGCCAATTACCACGATCTATAGGAGGTGATCACAGTGACAGCCAGTGAAATTACTGGCTGACACTGTCTTTGCCCGTCTCCTGTGAAAAATAAAATACAGTTCCAAGAAAAAGTATGTGAACCCTTTGGAATGATATGGATTTCTGCACAAATTGCTCATAAAATGTGATCTGATCATCATCTAAGTCACAACAATAGACAATCACAAGCGGGGATTATACCGCTGTACGCAATCCACACCAGATCTGGCCATAGCTCTCTTGAATGTGAGTTCTTTACTTTTTGTTACCTAACAAAACCCTGAACTTTCATACTATACCATTAGTCGCCTCTACCTCTCTTGTATTTACATATACGGAACGGTCTACACTAGACGCATCCACAGAGGAACTCTATCAAGTATCCTAGACCATCTATTGGCACCCTAGCAATAATTTACTGGACTATCTACCCTTATTTGGCGCAGCCCTTCCATATCTTTTTGTATCTATCCACCGAAGGACCCGAGGGGTTTTCCTTCATTTGGATTGATGCCTACCTTGACTAATTTTGCGATTACTAGCGCTGAATTCTTTTTGTGTTTATCAATAGACAATCACAGCCTGCTTAAATTAATAACACACAAAGAATGAAATGTTGCCATGTTTTTATTGAACACACCATGTAAACATTCACAGTGCAGGTGGAAAAAGTATGTGAACCCTTGGATTTAATAACTGGTTGAACCTCCTTTGAACCTACTTTTTCTTGCAACTGTATTAGTTAAAAATAAAATATATTATAGCTACAAATATATATACACATTTACACATACACTGTCTAAGTGTATTTTAATATTAATATATATATGAATATATATAGTAATATCAAAATACACGTAGAAGGATATTTATATGTAATAAAAAATAAAATATGTAAAGACGTTAAAAAATAAATAATAAAAAAATACATATGTGTGTAATTTTGTTCTAACTGTATTTTGATATTAATATATATAAAACTTCTAAAGTAAACACACTGTGCTGTAAGGTCTGATTGAAAATTAAACCATGTTGTCATGTAGGTTGTGTCAGTCACAGCTAGGGCAGGAATGGATAGGGTTGCATAATCAGAAACAAGTGATTTTACTCCAAAATGAAAGTGAATAGACAGATGAAGTGCATAACATAGATTATATCATTACAATGGCACCTGTCAAGGGGTGAAATATATTACGCAGCAGCATTTGTTGGAAGCAGGAAAACTGGGCAAGCAAAACTAACTCAGTCAGTTT